AGCTAAATAATTAAGTACTAATGTGGGAACAGACTACAATGACATAAACAAGAGAAGCATTACTCCAAAATTTTCAGATAAGTCTACAGATAAATTCTCAGCATACGGCGCAAAAAAATTTAAAAGAGGCACGCTAAACTATGCGTTGGATAAGCTGATTATGGATTTAAATAAAAGGAGCTAAGTCCATGAGATGTATAGCAAGATATTCAAATTTTTAATGGATTTGCAAGACAAAAATATGGAAAACATAGATCTGGAAAGTGTACGTAATATTGTTGATTATTATCCAGACGAGCATTTAGTGAATGAGTGATGAACTTACAATGTGATGAGCAAATAAGGGAATTTGCAACACAAAAATGCAGTAAGGTTGCTTTATAATTTATATAACATAACTACACATAACCTGTCAATTTCTTTTGCAATAATGTTGCACAGTTGCTGTTTGTATACACAAATGAAAGTAAATAAATAAAATTATTTTATTGTTCTATTTTTTTCCATATACTTATCTATTTCACTACAGAAAACCGTTTTTTTTTTTTTTGTTGACAAAATGGCTATTAGGGCCTCTAAGTACTTTCAGCCCAGGGCCCCTTAAATTCACGATCCGCCCATGCCTTTAAAGACAAACAAAATAAAATTATTTTGCAGTGTCATTTAGAGTGGATAAGGTTTAAGACAGAATGGATTAATCCATGGTTTAAACCGTCCTGCCCGAAATCCTTTTATTCAAATTATATCACAATTTTAAAAAAAAATATTGAGAGAAATAGAAGGTTAATTTTTGAACAAGAAACAAAATGAATTTGTTTTATTAAAAAGTTTACCATTATTTTAATTATTGCATCATTTATCCTTATGCACAAACATAATTTATCAGTATAAAAGCATATTTAAGGTTTAGTTAATATTTAAAGGATAAGGTATTCACTTTTGTTATCCAATGAATTGTGCAGCTTTAAAGTTATTAATCTTTTCATATTATATTACATTATTTTCCTTTAATAAGTTAAAGTAAATTGTATATGAAAGGTATCAAATATTTATTAATCTATGTAAGTATTATGTGTACAATGGTTACACACATACAATTTTTACCTTTTACCAATGTTCAAGATTTTGGACACTTTAAGACAGTAGAACCCAGGTTTCATATCCAAAACCAGTCTAGAACATCCAAAACCCCAACCCTGGTGTCAATACCACCTTGCCTCTTTAAACTTGTTAGTATAAGCTCTTAAGATCTAAAAGATGGATGAATTTTAAAACTAAAATATTGCATAATTGTATCTTGCATACACTTATTGAAAGCATTTTGCGAGATATATTTTGGATCTTTTTCAAAATAAATTTCACTAATAATATATCTACATTGAATTCACAAACAGTTTATTAACTTTACAATTTACATTCTTTATTGAAACAAGATTGCCAATCAAATTTGGAGAAAAAAAAATTCCCTGCACTTCCCCTGTGCATATTATACATAATATATTAAGAGGAAACACAATTACTGTGCTCTTGAGTGAGTTATATTGGGCTGTGTGAGGACATATTAGCTTTAATTGCTAGAAAAACTTAGAGAAAAAAAAGGAATAGCTGAACATACTTAAATAATATAGTAAATGAAATAGTTTAGTATAGTTGGAATATCATTAAATATACCCTATAGATTACGCATTGAGTCGTCACCATTTAATAAAAGACAAAAATAAAAAACAAAATTCTCTGTGTTTTCATAGTTTGTAAAGAAAAATCAAAATTCCCTGCGTTTTTCCTCTCACTTTAGGTGATTCACAGTATTTTCCAGGTTTTCCCTATGGAGTGGCAACTGTGAAATGTCACAGAAAAATTAACTTGATCACATTGATTTATGCCTTATGAAATAACCTACAAAATGATTCATCGAATTATCTACATTTAAACAACATACATATAAATATCACTATTTTCAGGCACAGTAAAAAGCAATGTTAAACTATATATTAATACAATAAAATTGTTCACCACTTTTAAGGCATTAACAGGTAACAATGTACTATTCAAAGTTGTTTAATATATTTTGATTTTTTTATAAAGATGCAACAACTACTCAAATTTCCTCTTGCTTTTGAAAGTTCAGATAAGGGCATAGCAACTTTGTTGAACTCAATTTTGTCTTCAATCACCTAAAAGAGCAATTGCTTGATTGATCAAATGATAATTTTAATTATTATTATAACTATTATTCATTATTATTAATATAATTTTTAAATATTATAATTATTATTATTGTTAATTAATATTAATAATTTTCTTGATTTCAAAATAAAGCATTAGAATGTAAAAATTTGAAAGTTGTCTTCAAACACCTAAAAGAGCAATTGCTTGATTGATCGAATGATAATTTAAGTTATTATTATTATTAATGACAATTTTCTTAATACTCCCAAATTTTATGTACAGTGGGCCAAAAAAAAATAGTTCTAATGAAATCAAATTTTTAATATACAACTTCTTGAAATTTTGATTTCTCGGAAACTATTAGACAGATTTCGCTCAAATTTAGCATTTCGCTATGTAAAATTACATACTTTAAAATTATGCAAAAAATTATATACCTTTTCAATTTAAAATTTTTGCAACTATTATTTAATAAAACAATAATAAATGATAAATATTTACAAAAATGTAATTTTTGCACACAATTATAACATTCATTTATTCAAAGATAATTCAGGGCAAAAAATAATTTTTAGTACATATTTATTCATTTTTATTATTTTATTCAATGATAGTTGAAAAAATTTTGAATTGTAAATACTATTTTTTACTCATTTTGAAGAAAGTAATTTTTCTTGGCAAAATACAAAATTTGAGCAAAATCGTGTGAATGGTTAATGAGAAATTAAATTTCAAAAAGTCAAATAGTTAAAATTTGTTTTCTCAGAAACTATTCGATCCATTTTGCTCATAATTTTTATTTTTCAATGTAAAATTACATTTCTTGTAACAATATAAAAAATTGTGTACCTTACAATTAAAAACTTTTTAAGACTATTATTGAATAAAATAGAAAATGATAAATATTTCCTACAATTTATTTTTTTGCATGGAATTATCTTTGGATAAACGAGTTTCATAATTGTATGAAAAAAATTTTTGTTTAAAAAGTTCTGGACATATGGCAAAATACGCAAAATGCAAATTTCATCTTAAGGGGTCTAAGCTTTGGATTGCTCTCCGAGCCAAGATATGGGACCATAATTTGGGTGTCAGAAATCCCAATTGGTAAAAAAAAATTTTATTTATTCAAAGAAAGTACGTTTTTGTGTCTGATTTTTATAACTTAAAATATCGTCTGCACTTATTAATTATCATATTTAAGGTCACATTTAATTAGCATATTTAAATCATTAAGAATGAGTCTAAGAAGGTAAAGATCTGATCATTAGATCCAAAATTATTCAGGGTGGTCCTTTCTTTGGCATTCTGTACATTAACAGAATTCTCATTCCAATGGCAAGGATAATTAACCAGAGCTGTCTGCATTAAAAAACACTTTCCTTAAGTGCAGCGAAAGTCAAGGCTCGAGGGGATATTATTTTTTTTATATCTGATATCGATATAGAAAGTGAACATTATTCCACCCTATTTTCTTCCACTAATCTTAAGATTCTATGTTATTGAAGCAAATATTAGTGGGTAACCACCAGCTAAGCTACCTTTTTATTTTTAAAAGGTAAAAAAATATTGATTTTTTTCATTGAATTTTTAATTATCATTATTTTTTAATTCTTCTCTTTTTTAACAGGAATACTACTGTATACTTCAAATGGATGTGATTTTTGTTGGCTACTTATTTACAACAGTCCCTTATTCCCCCTTTTTTTAAAAGCTAACAATTAAAACATTTATTGTTATCAATGACATCACTGTTCTGCACATCGTTTTTATTGTTATTTTAACATTAATAAGTGTATTTGCTCACATTGAAAAGCTCACTATACTGATAATATCCTTGCTAGGACTGGGCCATGATAAGATTTTGGCATTGCGATGTTTCGGTACTTTTATGTTTTATATTTAGTACTGCGTAAGTTAGAAGTTAGAATTTTTTTAAAATAAACATTGAATTTTTTATAATTATTTCTCAACATTTAATGACACAGATGCCTGCAAAATAGCAGTTAAAACATTAAATGGCTGGATTGATTTTTAAAAAATCAGCAGGATATGCACAAATACAATTAAAAGAAAACCTCTCCATAACTAAGAGATTCAACAATGCATCGATTCTCAATCGCATTCGAATCATGTCAGCAAATTGATGTAAAAAAGACGGGGAAAGTTAACGATCATCGCCAGAGCTATCACTGCACACTGAACTGAGGAAAATGCTCTACGCACAAGCACGTAGACAGTGGTTTACTATTGGGAATAATGCTCAACATCACAAGTGTAGGCACGACGTCAACGATACATTGGGAAATATTCTACACATCTCAGTAAATCACAATAGAGAATCCAAACATCAGATGATTGCATAGATCACCCAGTCCTATCTACAACACATGTGGATGCATACTTTTAATCATATGATTATTACAAGAAAAATACATACCTGAATGCTGTTTGGGAATTCAGATCTGTGAATTAGAGTCCCATTAACAAATAAGCAGTTAGCTGCTTCAGGATCAGGAACAGTAACTGTTTGGTATCTATAGGTAGCTTCTTGAGCCATACGCTATTAAACAAGTTATATATATAATAAGTATATATATATATTTAATATAACAAGGAATATTAAGATCAAAAATTAGAGCAATGGTAACTTTAACATTAGAAAATTAGAATGCTGCTAAAATAGTAAAAACCATTGTATGTCTTATTTTCACACAATTCTCATTACAACACCAAAAATTATATCAATTACACTTAATAAAATACATATGTTGATGGTCTTTCCATGGGCGATTGTGACACAAAGTGCAAATCCCTGAAAATTTTATGTGCAAAAACTCCATAACAAGATATCAATTTATATACTATTCATATTTAGTATAGTTTTTTGAACCAAGATTTATAATTAAATTACCTACCAGTAAAGAATAACACACTTTTATAGTAATCAATAATAATAATTAGTTTTTACAAGAATTGCGATATTGGATTTTAAAATCAAGTGAATATAAATTGGGATATTGGATTTAAGAATGCAAAAATAAAAAATTGGATTTTTTGAATTACGCAAATACAAGTCACCTTGCAAGATTTATAGACTATGAATAGCGACATTGGATTTTAAACTTGAGTGAAAATGAATCACGATATTGATTTCTAAAATGGGTAAATACAAATTGAAATACTGGATTTATAAATCACATGAATGTGAATTGCGATACATGATTTTTAAATCATGTGAATGATTCATGAGAAACTTTAAAATCAGAAAAATACGAAATGGTGCTTGATATTAAAATGGCGTGAATATTAATACCTATATCAGCAGATTCCAGCATAGTTTCAAATATAAAAAACGTTGAAAATCCGCCAAACTTAAAAAAATTTCAAAATTGCAGAAGAGTCAAGGGTACGGCTCAGTAATGCGATTCAGCGAAGGTTTCAAAATTTAAATTTTGGATTGCAGAACATAATTCTTACTTTCAATTTTAAGATTGAGGTGAAAATTTCGTCAGATTATAAGTTTTGATTTACAGAAGTCCACGAATCAGATCTTGAGAAATGAGGAATTCTGGGGAAAAGATCACATGTCCTGCTCCTAGTTCCTAGACCTGGAGGGATGATATGAAAAACCCAGAATACAAACACCCGTCTTTCATTAATACAGGCTTTCAAGACAAAACTTTATTTGCATTAATTAAAGTGCAAAGGGATGTTTATTTTAATTGAATAAAAATTTCTTAAATCTCTAAGAGGGATTCTCTTTTAAAGAGATAATAAAAATTCTTTCGGACATTTTGAAATAGTCAGGGTTGCCACTTAAATCTGGAAAAAAATTCCTTGTATATAGGAAGCATAATTTTCCATCCAGATTATGTGGGTGGGGGGGGGCATTGTATGTTAAATTAAACCAAACTATTTTCTTTTTTTTTTTCAGAACAAGGAAAGAACCAAATTATATGGGTGTCTTTTCTTGGTGCAAGTGTTTGATCAACTGTATTTAGAGCTTTGATCACAACTTCTTTCTTTTTAAAATATCTCTGTTTCTAAAATATTTCTGTTATCAATAAAAACAAACAGACATTTAAAAGTGATCAAACTAATATAAAAATGACTTAAAATTTTTGGACATGATACAGTAGAAATAAAAATAATTGCTGAATAAAAAATCTGGATAATCTAAGCAGATGCATGCTTTGATGACAAGAAAGTTTCAATCCAAACGTGAGAATGAATTTCAATACATTATAAACGAGCACTATGACAAGTTATAAATGTTTTGCCATATAACGTGAATAAAATTTAAGATAATGTGATATGTAATGTAAAAAAATAACCACAGTCACCTTACACTTTATGGATGGTATTTTCTATAAACAACAATTTTGAGCTCTTAGCCTGCTCTACTTCTGGTTAGAAAGTATACAACTGCTTACAACAGCTTAATTCTGTTAGGCAAGATTTTCAAACAAATAATTTTGTTTTAAATAAAAGAAATAAATTATATAATTTATGAGCTCAAGTCTGCTGTATTTCATAAGAAATAAAGTAATTTTGGTGAGTTTGAAGCGAAAATTTAGTTAAAATCAAGATGGATGTGGGTTAGTTCTTTTAAACACAAATAATAAATCAGGTAACAAATACATGTGTTCAAGAAATACTACTCAAGAGAGTCTTAAAACACAATGATAACGTTGTATGACAAATGGCTTCAAAACACAACAAAAACAGTAACCCGGAAGTATAAGCAGTCAAAAGCTTGCAGCGCTCCCTATTGTAGAAAGCGTCATCCATTAATTCAAATATGCATGACAATATGTGAAACAAATATCAAAATGTGTGATTAAGTGTTCACAAAAGTAATTTTTTTCAGTTAAAAAAAAAATTCCTCCCCCAAATTTCAGAATACAAAACTATAAATCTGGATTTTTGCATTAAAACTTTTTGAATAAAGAAAGTGATTTATTGAGAAAAAGGGGGGACTAGAAGTCATAATTCATATAAAACTTGTGGTAGGATGTCAAAAAATTTATTGAGTTCGTGTATAGTAAAAGATATTGCTTCTTAGACCCACTAGAACAAGAAAGTGGGAACGGCGCGGTTGAGATGGGCTGATTCAGCGGCAGGGTTTCCACTCTGTGATGAGATTTAAATTCAAGGACCTTAATCCAAGACCAATTTTAAAAATTATTCTCCTCTATTTTACTAGAAGCAACAATGCTTGTTGTGGCAATAATTAATTTCAAATATAATACCTAAATGCTTTGCCTATAAATATAGAAGAGAGTATATATATTATGGACTACTATTAATATTTTTTTAAAAACTACTGGTTTTAAATATTAATTCACAAAATCATTTTCAGCACAATCTATAACTAATGGTAATGAGGTGTTAATGGTGAAGAGGGGATTTCTTTAATCCTGGTTATTTCCACGTGATGGCTGCACGAGAGAGACAAAGCTAAATTGTAGGTATTCCATATTCCATGACTATTACATAACCCCCACCTCTCCTCTATTAAACATAACTTCTGAAATTATAAAATTAATTCATCCATAATTTACACAAACTTCTCTGAATGTTATGCAGTAAAAATTCTTTCTGAAAATAAAAATTAGAAGGAACATATTCATGAACCATATATAGCTTACTTATTTTATAAAGTAATGAAAGGAAGCAATATAATGGAAATATTTGGTGTTGTCTCTTAAGAGATAAGAAGCAAACAAAATAATACAATATGATTTTATTAACAAAAATTCTTAATTGATGAAAATATTTCACTTCAATCTGAGATAAAGTAATAAACATTGCACTTGAATTTGACATTGCACTCTAATGATATAATAAAAACATTGCACTTTTATGATATAATAAAACATTGCACTTTAACAAAAATGTTTACAAAACAAATGTCATCCAGTACAACAGTCATCTAAAATAGTTGGTCGTGAAACTAACTTTACTTAATAATATTCTGATTCTCCCACAAAACAAAGTATTTAGCCATGAAACATTTTTTTAGTCATAAAAACTTACATAATTACTCCGTAAAAAATAGAGAAATTAAATTGAAACTTAAAATGTCCAACCTTTTTGAATGACCCATTGATTGCAATGCAAACAAAAATTAATCACATTTGTTAAATGTTTTTGTTACTTCAGTTAGTTTGCTATTGATTTCTTTTAGCTCGATTTTTTCGTTAGTAGCTTTTTTAATAGAATTTGATCTGATGAATAAATCAATGTTTTCCTTTCTCTCAGCTTCTTCGGTCAGGTTTTCAGATTTCTTCTACATTTGGGAAACATCTGTTTCTAAGTAAGCCCTCTTAGATTGCAAAAAATCCACCTCTTCTACAATAGCCTTTCTTTTCTTCTGTTTTTCTTCATTTTTCTCATTGTTGCGTTTTTCCTCCGGACTACTTAAATACCTTTGACGAGCCATAGACACTGATATTCTCATATCATCAGTAATGGGTACATTGAGAATGTTTCCGTAACATCTTATAGCATCTTTAATGATTCTTTGAGAATCATATGATTCTTTGAGAATCATATGGTTCTTGTATCATATTCTCAACTTCAATTTTTTTTATTGAAGGAGAAATCTCTTTCAATGGATGCTTTTCCATGTGAAAGAGTAAAAAGCACTTTCATAGTATTCCATAATTTATCATAAGCCTTCTTGTTCTGATTGATAAAACTATGGAAAAAGGTGTCTACTCTATCATTCTCTGTAGAAAAATTTTGAAAAGAAGACTTACTGCAAGTCACAATGGTTTCAATAAAATGCTTGTACGTATTGAAAAATTACTTCATCACATTCTTTATCCACAACAACTTTTNAGTTCATCAAAAAAATTTTTAAGACTTTTGACAAGTCTCAGGCTGAAGTGCCATTTTTCTTGGATTGAAATAAGATACATTCCTTACTAAGCAATAATTAATTGGACATTTACTCAAGAGCTTTTCCAGAAGTTTTGTCACAAAACTTCTGGACTCTATGCCGACTGTTTAAAGATTAACAGTAAACTTCAACACGGACATTAAACACATCTTTAGAGAGCTGTTTCTTTTCAAAAGCTGCTTAACACAACTATCCCCAACAAATCCTAATACTATCTCATTCACTAGATTGAAATTTACTTCATCGGAAAAATCAAACTTGCAGAGCTTTGCAACATTTGAAAAATTTTCCATGTTTTTTTTTTAATAAACGTTAAAAAAGTCAACTAACTGCTTGCTTGTATTAAGTGTATCTTCAGAGAAAAATGGTAAAAGAGGTGCATCACTCTGGTAGGTCTTAAGAAAATGTTTTATAATTTTTGTTATGGCCAAAAAAACATTAAACTTCACAACAGTAAACTTGTCCCGTGATGCTAGGCCCGGCTAGAAACGGTGGCTCCAAAAACCATGTGAGAGAGCTCGGGAACAAAACAGAAAGAACACGAAAGATCCGCGGGTGTTTTATAAAAAGGGCTGCCGGCAGTATTGGATGAATTCAAGGACCGCGGGAACCCTGAGCGGAGACTGATTTTCGTGCAATTAATGAAAAGAATTGGGAGATCAAAAATATGTGGGAAGTCGTAATGGAGAAATCTTCAGAGGAAGGGATTGAAATACATTGGGCTGTCTGGCCAACTATGAAGATGATGATGAAATGCTATAGCAATTATAGCAAATGATATTTTCAACAATCTAACATTTCGTTAAAATGAGATTCTGTCATACATTATATTGTCTAAGTGAGAAGAAATTCTGTCATATATTATTTTGTCTAAGTGAGAAGAAATTCTGTCTCATGTTATTCTGTATAAGTGAGAAGATTCTGTTCCTCAATATTTTTTTCTAAGAATCAGACCTATGATTAATTGTTCATGATGATTCGGACTCACTGTATTTTGCCCAGATGAAGTTGCACTCAAACAAGTTGAAATTGCTGACCTAGAACACCTTACCCACATTTGTTTAGAGCAGTGATTCTCAACCTTTTTTTATTGTTGCAGCACACTTCTAACAATTTTGAAATTTGACAACACACAAAGAAAAAAATAAGTTTAAAAGTTGCTTACTTATCTTACAATACACTGTCTTAAATAGTTTATGATAATAATTTTGAATGTAAAATAAAATATGTACTACTAAAACACGTTTACAAAAGCACGCTCTTTCAACTTGCGCAGTTCGTATCTTGCCTTCTTTCTCTCATATTGCTTAATAGTTCTTTTGTTTTGTTATTTATTAGGTATTAACTGCTATTTTTTTTGCTAGTTATTAATTGTTAGCTCGTTTTTTATAGTTATTAATTGTTAAATTCTTTACATTTATTGTTATTGTTTGTGATTTCTTGCTAGCTTGCTTTTTTGTTAATTATTAACTGTTAGCTTGTTTTCTTTTGTAAGTAATCCTTTGTTAATTTGTTTTTATAATTCTTAATTGCAAGCTCATTTTAACTGTTGGCTTTTATTTCCTTTCGGAAGTTAATATTCACTTGCTTTCTTTTGTTAATAAATAATTTCAATAGTAATTAAATTTCCTACTTATTTTAACATTTTAAGATTGTCAGAGACAAGACTATCGCCGACAAATATATTTACGCTGTTAAAGCATGGAAAAATTATAAAAAAGTATTTATATATTGTTTTCCTTAATTTTAAGTTTACTCACAATAAAAAAAAAAAAACATTATAATTTTTACTACATCATTTCTAAAATTTGGCAGCAAGCTTTAAGAATTTGACAGCACACAAAAGTGTTGCGGCAGTGGTTGAGAGTCACTGCTTTAAACTGTCTGTCAACTATCATTTTGCTTTCTAAAATTATTTTAGATTAAATTTTATTCAAAATTTTTGGATACATGTTGATGTTGTATACATATATTTTTCAAGTGAATAAAAATTTAAAAAATCACCTTAAGCACACTTTGAGCTTCGTCACTTGCAGATACAAGTATAATGTCTGGTCCTGCAATAGATAATAGTGACTTGAGATGGTTTGTCCCAGGGACTTTCACAGGAGTTACAGGGTATTCAGGAAAAGCATCAGCTACAGCTCTAGCCCCAGCATCATTAGTCCTTCTTGACAAGCCAACAAAAAATTCCTTTCCTAAGCAAATATTTTGTTACTTATAAAAAATTAATGGCATTAGTTCTTCTTAGTTAAAATTTTTGACAGTTTTCCATGGATACACCAACATAATCTTGATGTTGACCATCAATAATTCTATTATGAATTATATTATTTTATATTTTTAGGTGGTAAACAACATAAGTAATCATCACCCCAAGGTAGGAATTCGGACTGATTTATGATGGTCCAACATAAAGCAATTAAAAATAATAATACATCAAATGGAAAAAAAAGCGCTTAGCAGCAGTGAATCCTAAAGGAATTAAACAAATGAGACAATGAAAAAAAATGGGTAATGCGACAACCAAAGCTGACGTCCAGGGGGTACCAGCTTTGAAAGTCATAAAAACAAAACCTTTTCTATCGAGAAAGCAAGACAAAAGTCTAAAATTGCTTTCTCTGTATCCCAAAGGTTTTGCCAAAGTCCAGGAAAAGAATATAAAATACAGAAGAATAAAAACTAGACAAATACAAAAGAATAGTACGAACGAAAGGTTACCTGAAATAAAAATCCAATAACTAGATAACACAACTGAGTGCAAGACACTACTAAAATAAAATAAACATGAAAAGAATGCCCCCTATCCTGTGCAGTTTAAAGAAAAAAGGACAGAAGTTAAGTAAGTAGTGACATCATTAATAGAAAAGCTTGGCCGAGGAAACTTAATCAAGACTTGGATTTTGCTTAATCAAATGAAAAAACTAATAATTCTCAATCAATTTCCTAATTTTAAAACCAAGATTACAAAAATTAGAAAAAAAATCATTATTTTCTAAATTTTTAAAAAAATTACTAGCAGCCTCTTGAAAACTTAAAACATTATTACAAATTTTCTTAATTCTAAACAATTCAGAAAAAACTAAATTTTTGAACATTTTACTGCACAAATTAGTATTAAAATTACAGAAAAAAATAATTTTAAAATTAAAAGTTATTCTTTAATCATAAACCCCAATTTAAATTTGCTTATGAGCAATATCAACTTTAAAATCTAAATATTCAATACTTAAGCAATTATCATTAGTTTTCTTCAAAACCAATTCTTTAGGATTTTAATCCGAACTTCAAAACCAATTCTTTAGGATCTTAATCCTAACTTCTAAACCAATTCTTTAGGATCCTAATCCTAAAGAATTGGTTTTGAACAAAACTAATGATAATTGCTCAAGTGTTGAATATTTAGATTTTAAAATTGATATTGTTGATAAACAAATTAAAATTGGGGTTTATGATAAAAGAATAGTTTTTAATTTTAAAATTATTTTTTTCTGTAATTTTATACTAATTTGTGCAGTAAATTTTTCAAAAATTTATTTTTTTCTCAATTGCTTAGAATTAATAAAATTTGTAAAAATGTTTTAAGTTTTCAAGAGGCAGCTAGTAATTTTGTAATAAATTAAGAAAATAGTGGTTTTCCTCTTAATTTTTGTAATACAGTCAAACATAGTGAACTCCCGGATATAGTGAACAAAATGCTCGGTCCCGTACCTTGCTATACACGTATAATGTTATTTTTAGTGGATATAGTGAACCAAAAAAGTGAGGAAATTGGATATAATGAACTTTTTTCTGTCTTCGACTGATTCCCCCCCCCCATTTTCTTTGTAATAATTTTGAAATTTCTACTTCAAAATAAATACATATACCGATTTTTAAAACCATCTGTAGAAACTACTTTTATGTGCTCGAATGACAGGTTAGACAGGTTTAAAAAACAGAATAACAGAAATTCCGGAAATATTATCTGAGAGTCGAGAAGTATTTCCATATCTGATGTAGAGGATTGCTCATCAGCTAAAGATTACTAATTTTTATTTGTACGCAAGACGAAGAGTGATGAAAAATAACAAATTTTTTGCTACTATGTAATATTTTTCAGTCATTTATATGAATATAATGTAATAAAAGGGAGAAGTTTGGGAACCATTAGTGCGTAACGGTTATAGTGAACTCCTGGTTATAGTGAACTGAAATTTCGGTCCCTTGAAGGTTCACTATACTGTATTGGTTTGACTGTATTGGTTTTAAAATTAAGAAAATGATTAAGAATTATTAGTTTTTTTATTTGATTAAGCAAAATCCAAGTTTTGATTAAGTTTCCTCGGTCAAGCTTCTCTATTAATGATGTCACTACTTACTTAACTTCTGTCCTTTTTTCTTTAAACTGTGCAGGATAGGGAGCATTCTTTTCAGGTTTATTTTATTTTAGTTGTGTCCTGCAGTCAGTTGTGCTATCTAGTTATTGGATTTTTATTTCAGGTAACCTTTTGTTCATACTATCGTTCTGTATTTGTCTTGTTTTTATTCTTCTGTATTTTATATTTTTTTCCTGGACTTTGGCAAAACCTTTGGGGAACAGAGAAAGCAATTTTAGACTTTTGTCTTGCTTTCTCAATAGAAAAGGTTTTGCTTTTATGACTTCCGAAGCTGGTACCCCCTGAAGACGTCGGCTTTGGTTGTCATATTACCCAATTTTTTTCAATGTCTCATAAGAATAGCAACTTGCCTTAACGGTTTGTTCATGTTGAACCATCAGAAATTTCTATCATAGTTTTCTAAAAATCAATTGTTGGAACGATTATGAGCCACCATTACCCCAATGTAGGAATTTGGACTGATTTATAATAGGCTAACATGAAAAAAAAAATTTTTTTTGACAGTATTTTCCAGCTGAACCACTAAGAATTATTATTCAACCATTATGAAAATGCATTGTTGTACCATTATGAGCCATCACGAATTACCATTATACTGACTTAGAAATCAAATGTTGGAACGATCATGTACAACTATTATTTCAATGTAGGAATTCAGACTGATTTATGATGGTCTACTATGAAAAAGCCAAATTGTTTTAATGGTATATTCCTAAGAACCAACAGGAATTCCCAATACACCATCATCAACTTCCATCATGGAATGATGGAAGTTAGTGGGCATATTAAAACGGGATTAATTACATAGAATCACTAAATATAGCGACTTGCAACAATCGCTGAATGGATTTCTTATTTTATAACCATCATTGAACAGCCGACCAAAATTTGAGGAGTTTACGGCTACAACTCGACGAGTTTACAGTTCAACGGCACTGTTCAACTCCGTAGCTTGTAATTTTGAACCCAATCCAAAAGACAGGGGAACTCCTAAATCAGTACCAATCAGGTATTGATTTGTTATGGGAACATGGAGGACTCAGTGACCCAACAGATTTAACGTGTGCCAGTTACCCTTTGAAACACTGGGATTCTTTTGATGTTACAATAGATAGTTTTGCAAGTGTAAAAAGTTCAAAGAAAAATAGGGCAGTTAATTTTGTTGCCCAAATTTAAAATTATAATAAATTAAAAATTTTAATAATAGTAATTGTTCTACAGATTATGAAATTTTGCATTATCAATTTCATGAATTTGATCATGTTACTCTTTTTATTTTAGATTTTATGGAAAATTTAGATAAAAGACTTGATTTAGAAAACATTTACATTAGTTGTCTTAAAACTCTTTTTCTATATGAATTAAATAGTAGGTTTAATGGGGAAGGTATTGTTAATACTGAAGATTATTGAATTTATGAAAATTTAAAGTTTTTTATTTTCCTAGTGTAGTGGAAAAGGTAATGGTAAAGTTATTGATTTTGATGATTTTTCGAATATTTGTAACTTACTTGTTAATTTGAATAATATTTTTATTATTAGGAAAGATATTTTTGGTCTTAAAAATAAAGTTCTTAAAAATTTCCTTATTAATTTTGGTTCTAAGATTAAATTTGATACTGAACTTATTAAATTTATTGTTTTGGATTTGATTAAATCAAAACTTGGTGCTAGTAAAACTGATCTGCTCTTTAATAAGGTTTCTAACGTTGAAAGGGTTTTTTGTACGATTAATTTTCATGATTAAAAATTTGAAATTGCTAAGTTGCCACAGGTTATACATGGTCTTTCGGAATTTTTTTCCTTTAAAGCAAATTAAGGTTTCAGCTGCTTATAAATATTCTTCTACACTTAGAAAAAAGGCATGTACTTATAATTTTTTAAGTCGAAATTTAAATTGTATTTCTAAATTTGATTGTTATTGCAATGAAATTGATTTTTCTCAATATATTGATAATGATTATGGACATATTATTACGGGAAAATTGGAGATTGTTGGTGATCAAGATTTAATTAATATTTTAAGTAAAGGTTCAAAATTTAGGACAAGATTTCAAATGAAAAATGAAAATTTTATTTTATCCATTAAAAAGGATCTTGATTTTTTTATAGCAAAAATTTCCAGAAAATATCATTGGCCCGTTTAGGGTTTTTCAGAGTGGAAAGCTAAAATAATTGAAAAAGTTAAATTTAATTTATTTAATACCAGTTTTAGTTCATATCCTAGAGGTACTATTATTGATTTGTCTAGGAATATTAAAATTCTTAAAGATAAATTTATTGTTACTGTTGTTGATAAAGCATCAAATAATTTTTGTATTATGTGCAAATATTTGTTTAAAAAATTGATTATTGGAGAATATAATGCAAATAATACTTATTTAAAATTAAAAGAAGGTAAGAAAGTTATTGAAAAAAGAATTATTGCATTTAGTAAAAAATTAAAATTTAGGTTAAATATGATTACATTTCCATATTTATTTCCTATTGTTAAATTTCATAAAAGTCCAGTTAAATTTAGGTCTATTGCGTGTGGTACTAATTGTTACAATTCTGATATTAGTAAAAAGTTTTTTAATTTTCTAAAAATTATTTTACTTAAAATTAAAAAAGAGAAAAATATTGCTATAAATAGTAATGTTGAAGTTTTGGATTATATTAATAATAATGATATTTCTAGCATTAATACTTTTGATTTTGAAAATTTGTACACAAGTATTCCACATGCAAAGATTATTTAAATTTGTAACGGCATTTATGATAAGTATTTATTTAATGAGCAAATAGATAAATCTTATTGGTTGGATTAATGCATGTTTA